GCATACACAAAGAGTGCAATGCGCACCACCCGAAGGATGGACATATTTGAAACTCGGACTTAGGGGGGGAAGGGGGGGCAAGGGCAACATACGTAACCTAAACATCTGTACCCCCATAATATGCTGAAATAAAAAAAAAGTCATTAAGCTTGATTTATCATAATTGTATCTTGGTATTATTGGCATATGCCTATCACCTGAGTAATACTTTTTTGATTTTTAGGAAAGATTAGCAGAAGAAATTGAAAAGCTGAGATCTGAACTTGACCAATTGAAACTGAGAACTGGCTCTTTAATTGAACCCACAATATCAAGGTAATATTAAATTAAAACTTATCTATAGTTCTCTAGAAATCAGTATGAATTGCCTTATGCTTTCATATATCAACTAAAGTCAATCAGGATCTCTTATTGCTTAGTAGTCATTACTGTATTTTCGCTCTTTATTGATTGATAGTTCCTACATTCAAAAATAACTTCCTAATTTAGAAATACTTTCTGAAGATATTCAATAAAAATTTAAATTACTACCTTTTTACCCTGCATTTAATTATATATATAGAAGCATACAAGAAGACTCTTAAATGAAGAAATTGAATTATATATAAGAAGATTGCATCTCATTCCAAGAAGAGGCATCAGCCCTTTTCTCTACCTGTGTTCAATGCAGAAATTGAACTCTACATAAAATTTTCTTTATATGTGGTCAATTCAGAAGCATGCAGAAATATGTCCAATGCTTAATGTGACTGTAAAACTATTGTTAATTATAGTCACTTAGCATCTACCCATTAAAGTAATTGCAAGTAAAAATGGAAAGAGAAATTACATATGTAAAATTAAATTCAAATAAGTTTAGGCATAGTCGCCCATTTTGGCTCATTACCTCCTCTTAAAATAAAGACGCAAGGGATGGCTGTTTACTTGGCAGATAGATAGATCTGTATGTTAATAATTCACATAATTTTCTTTTGTGCTTAAGGCCTTTCAACTAAAATTGTTCAGAAACTCTAGAAGAATTCGTTAATGTAATCGTGTATTTACTAGACAACCCAGAATCATAGCAACTGTTTGAAAATTTTAACCACCACAGGCTTTTCGAAGTCTATCTTTCTTGGTCTTTATGTTCATCTTAAAAATGTTAACTCCACAAGAATAAGAATTTGTGTTCCTTTTGATAACTACTGTAATCTCAGCACCTAAAAAACTACCTGGAATATAGTATGTTCTCAATAAATACTCATTGAATGAATGAATAATGAAATATTCATTATTTCATTGAAATAATGAATATACAATAAAACATCTTTCAGATGCTCGTGTAAAAATTCAAATGAAAATTTGAAGTATTTTATACTCTTCAATATAAATATAA